TATTGTGAGGATTAAATGTGTTAATTTGTTTAGAAGAAGGTAATACAATGCCTGGTGCCTAGTAAGTGCTACATAATAGTAGATGTTATTTTTAAGATGGAAGGAAGATCCATTCTCAGAAAAGATACTAAACTTGACTTTAGACACTCTGAGTGTGAAATAAAGATAGTAAGGTTTAAATTTTAAAAATCCATCATGGTTAAAAATGGCTTTGATATTTATTTATTATGAGGAGGGAATCATTTACGAATTGCTAATGGTCAAGAAAAACGTAATTTGCATTATCTACAAATCATGAACTTCAAGGAGGGTATCACACAGAGTACTTACCTGCACATCAGGAGAAGTGCTGTCCTGAGACAAAGTACAAAGGATTCCAACACAAGAATTCAAATGTTGAGAAGAACAGATTCCTCCTAAATACCTATGTAGGGATCCCAAAGCCAATGAGTGTCCTGTTCTGGTAACCACGTCCCTTGCTGATTTCAGTCTGTAATTATGGAAATAAAAATAAATAGTAATCACTGAAACAAAATTACTGCATGATACTGTCACTTAGGCAAAACTTTTTGTATGAGTATTTCCAAAATTTAGAAACATACTTACAGTTAACTGATAAAATATTTCTGAAATAACATGGAAGGTATTTTGAAAAGAAAAACATTTAAAAAAACTTAACATTATTAATGATTATTTAGGTAAAAACAATTTCAATATCTTGCAGAGATACTCATATATACACACTAAATTTATAGGGCAGGCATTTATGGCTAATTACGTTACTCATATAAATAGTGATCTTTCTCTTATTATATAAAACTAAAACCGGAGTAGTAATAGTTTTATGTTTCAAGAGGACAAGCCAAAGAGAGCTCTCCTTTATTTTAAAGTATCCACATTTGTACATTTTTTCCCCTTAGTTAACTCTCAGAATGAAGTTTTACTAGTTCCAACACATCAACAAGCTATACCCAGTTTTGACACATAGCCCAGGAGTATTAAATGAGAAATTCACTTACCTGTCAAAGCTAACTTGAGCTAATGCAGCAGTAAAAGATCCATCATCAACCACTTGAGTTAACCTAGCCCATGCCTCTGCAGCTGCACATCTCAAGAGGGGGCTGGGACTTTCTAAAGCTCCCATCACTAATGCTAGGGCAGGTCTTCTCATTTCTTCTGGACCCAAATTTCTCTTGGAGCCAGCGACATACTGAAATATAGAAAGAAAAATCCAAACTTACAATTGTAGTTAATTTTCTTTTTCAATTTGGAATATATTAATATATTCTGGTTAACCAAATATGCTTATACTTGGATTACTACTTAAAAAAAAATCAGAACATGAAAAAATCCACACTATACAAACATAATTTGCTTTTTCTCACAAAGTACTTTAGAATTGTAAATCTCCAGGCACAATATGGTAATTAATTATCATTGTAGTATATATGTGTTCAAAAGAATATTAATAGGGATTTCCATAAAATATATGACCAGTGAAGCTTATTATATTTTACTTAGAAACAACAAGTCATAAATGTAACAACGAGCCAGATTTGGTCAACAGGCCACAGTCTGCCAATTCCTGGTCTAAAATATTAGGCTTAGTAGGTTAAAGCATGGCTCCAAGCCAAGATCATCTGACTAACAAGTTTTATATGGAGAAAAAGTAAAAGGGGAAATATAAATCTTAAAACATTTTCATCAGAAGATTAAGAAAAACAGGGAAATAAAAAAGTAACAGCCCTTTAAAAACACCTTCCTTCAACCTACCTAACTGACCATACATTTAAAAAAGAAAATCAAGCAAACATTTGAATTTTTTAAAAATAGAATTACCTTCAAGAAACTAGAAACTGAAGAAACAACATGTAACTGAACTACTTGTTGACGAGCTCCTTTTGTGTGCTTTATACTATCCAAAAGCTGTTCCAATATAAGAAGCCTAAAATCAGACACAAAAAAATTTAAAAGCAAATTCAGCCNATGGGACTTCCCTAAGGCCACCTAACTAGGATGTGGCAGAACTGAGATAAGAGCTATCCGTAACAGTACGACAGAATGAAATGAGGACTAACAAGGAGTTCAGAAGCCCGGATTCTAGACTTAGAGTTACCACTACCTAGTCAAATTATTTGACTTTTTGGTCCTCAGTTTATCTTTTTATTGAGAAGCCTGGTTTTAATGATGTTTGAGGTTTTTGCAAGGCCTGAAACACTATATATTTGGCCTCAAGCTTGAAAATGAAAAGTCTGTCTAAATAAAGTAATAAAATTAAGTAATAATGGGAATTTGCTATGAACGTTGCAGGGGCACAAAATGTTAAAAAGCAATAGTATCAAGTTTTCATTTCAAATGTAATAATTTTTGAGGCAAGTACAGATGGAAACTGGTGATGCTCAGGGTAAATTTTAAAACCACTGACGATTAAGAACCCCTGTATTCATTAGACACATTAGAACCAAGATATTGATGCTTATGCTGCCAGAATATTGAGGGAAAATGTTATGTGCCCATCTGGGATGGAAAGAATTTTATATGTTATAATTTGGACTAGAGAAAGAAGATGGAAAAAAAAAGATTACCATATAAAATTTTCTGTACCCTATAGCATTTATACAGTACCTGGGACACTGAAGTGCCAAATATATATTTACTGATAAATAAATATTTCAAATATTAAGTTCAACATTAATGGGGGAAAACGAATCAATATATGAGAGGTTTAAGATGTGAGTATATAAAAATTGCTCCCCATTTCCCAAAAAAGACTAGAACTTAGGGAAAACAGCTATTGTACAGTCTAGAGAATAATTAAAATAATCTAAGTTTCCAATAAAAGGAACTAAGGACTAATTTATAATTTTATACTCACACACAGGCAGCTGACCAGGCTAGACAAGTTGACATGTCGTGGAGCAAACATATGAAGCTGCTGAAGGCAAGAGATGGCCTGAGCTTGAACGAGGCAGTCTGGGTTATCTTGCATCACTGCACAACCCAGCAGACAGGAAGTCCTTAAGGTAGAAATTGGAGTGCTGTTACCTAAAATGAAAGCAGAAAGTTTTTAATAATTGGCTTATAAAATCATTACTCTTTAAATATATATTACTGAGCTTAAAATTTTTAGCCCCCAATTTTAAATTTAAGAATCTGTGAACTAAATTTCCTATATGAAAGCAGAGATAATTCAGCTGAAAGATTTTTACATACTTATTGGTTATTCTTAGTCTGAAAGGTTTATGGCAACACAAATCATTAGGCAAAGGAAAACCTAAGACTATCTGTAGGTTCTACCAAATTTTCATGAAAAGTACAACTAGAAATTGCTAATAAACTTAGCCCTGCTTATAGTAGTTGAGAGTTGCTCTCATATATTAACATCACATAATTTGCATTGAGTTTTTGGACTTAGTCATTACTTCTTAAAAGAGATTAAGAGCTCTTTAAACAGTTCCACTTCATGTCTGTCATTTTAATTAAAGGAAGCAATTTTAGGACATATCTAATGTTTCTAAATACAGTATTCCTTGTCTTTTCAAGGTGAGAGAAATCAAGCTGAATGGTATTTATTTAAGAAAATCTGCTCAGCACCTACTATGTGCCAATCACAAAGGCTTTTGAACTTTCCCTTCATTTGACAGAGGAGAAAACCAAATCCCAGAGATGTAAGAATTTCCCCAAGGTCACCCAATTAGGTAGTGGTGAAACTTAGGTCTCCTAGTTTCTGTTTTTTTCTATTACATCATCATCCAGGATTCAAAGTTTTCCCAAGAGTACTCAACATTCTTCCCATATAGGTGAATAGAAGATTCTGCTAAACTTAATTTCAGTGACAAGTATTTGGGTCAGTAATAAAAACTGAATTCCTTTTTATGTATACATATTTAATATAAGATATCACAAAAACAGCTATGTATACCTTGTAGCTCTGGGCCCAAAGTAGTAATCAGGGCATTCAAACAACGACCAAGACTTTGGTGAACTTCAGCATGAGTAGGAGGCACATTTAACAACAACATTATAATAAGAGAAAGGGTAGGTTCCACATGCATATTATAGAGTGGGCCAGCGGAATCAATTATCAATGACAGAGCATGTAATGCCCAGGTCTGTGAAGACAGAAAAAAACCTTTTTTTAATGTTATAAGCATTAGGAAATGTAAGACACAATGAATTACTCTTTTGTTGAAGCACGTGATATAGTAATGGCAAAGTAAAGTATTTGTATGCTATTACTAATTTTGAAAAAGAAATGAACTTTAAGAGTTTAAGAAAATTTCTCTCTTTAAATATCTAGTAAAAAACAACTGAGACAGACATTTAATTCAAAACGGTATATATAAATATATTTCAACACTAAGAGTTTCAAGATAATGTTTGGTTCTTTAGCTAACAGCTTGAACCAAATCTAGGTTTTTGAAAATTGTTTGTTTCATTTATACAGAGAATGAAAATGCAAGTTTTTAAATGATCAATAAAATCTGTACATGCTATAAGGACAAGTTTCTCAAGTACAACGTTGGAGAAAGTCAAACATAAAGGAGTATGATACCACTGATATAAAATATAAAAGTAGACAAAACTAACATATGCTGTTGCAAATTAGAATAGTGGTTATCTTTGGCAGGACAAGTAGTAACTAGAAGAGAATGTAACAGTGTATGAGATACTGAAAATGTTCTGTTTATTGATCTAGGTGCTTGTTACACGGTGTATTTAGTTTGTAGGCTTTATTCAGAGATGAACACTTATGACAGGTGCACTTCTACAAATATATTTACAAATATATAAAAATAAATACATTTATAAAGTAAGTATTTTATATAGAAATATACATTTATATATTAAACAAACAAAATGCTTTTGAGCCAAACCTGGTTTTATAAATAAAGTTTTATTGAAACACAGTCACGCTCATTTGTTTACATATTATTTGTGGCTGCTTTCCTCCTATGATGGCAGAATCGAGCAGTGACAGAGATTGTATGACATGCGAAGCCCAAATAATTTACTATCTGACCCTTTATTGAATAAGTCTGCTAACTCTGGTTTAAATGACACAAGAATGGTCATATACTGATAACCACTGAAGTTGGATAATGGGTCTATAAGGATATAGTATACTCTCTACCTTTATTTATATTTGAACTTTTCATAACAACAAGTATTTAAAAAGTTCTCTCTTTAAGAAATCTACTGAGAAAGTTTTACCCCTTTTATCAAAGGATATATAAGAAAACTTAAAGTACTTTAAATGCTATAAAAATGAACTGTTAAGTGAGAGACAGCAGCAATCAAGAAGAGTCAGATTTGATGACACTGGAAGCCATGGAAAGTAGCATTTAAATTAATCAACAAAAAAGTACTCAATGTAAAAAGTATGTGCATTCAGAACAGAGTTCTTGAAGGAGAAGAATATAATAAATAGAAGCAAAAATTAGTCCACTAAAAGAAGGATGAAAGAATGGAATACCTCATAAGTCAACTCAACCAAGTATTAGGTGATATGGAGGAGACTTTGTTAATACGGTAATTCAAAGAAGGAAAGCTAACTGTGGATTAGGGAAGTGGAAGTTTGACAAGAAGGTGGTTAAGCTGGATCTTAGAATACTATAAAATATGGATTATCAAGTAGCAACAGGAAGGGAGAAAAGCAATAGGAAAAATATAAGTGCAGGTATGAGAATGACATGGTATGGGAGGAAATTAGGTAGATCACCTATAGGAGAATACCAGTACTTTGGGGTAATAACAGAGAAAGTTCCTGGGTCAGTTGATGGGACCTGAATGGGAAGTGGATTTAAGAAGCAATGAAGAGTTTCCTCAGCTTTACAGTAGGGATATGGCAAAATGAAGGTCTTTCAGGAAAACAAATTTGGCTTCCTATCTAAGGAGAGCTGAAAGAATCTAAAAATAAAGTGA